AGAGAATGAAGTGGAGTCTTAGAGAGATTAGATAACTTTTTCATGTCAGAGTAGTAAACTGCACACCCGGCACACTAATTAATGTCTGTTTCTTACAACCAAGCCCTTGATTATTCTTATGTAGTAGGAGATAACCAAATAGGGCAATTGCTAGTTACAGCATTTGGCAAGTTCTTCTGTGAGTTTACTTTGAGATGGAGCCAGTGTTCTAAATGTATTCATAAATATTATTTATTTTTTAGTTTAAAATATTTACATTTTCTAAGCATGTCTTATTTGATTAGGAAATAATACCTCTAGACACATCTGTAGTAACCTAGTCTTTAAATATGACACATAAGATTCAAAAATTGTTTTATGAACAAGAAAGCAAAATATGCTGTATTTATTAAAAACTATAGGAGCTTTATTTATAATCATTTAAATGAAAAAATGAATCAATCATTATATACATATCAGACTGGTGTGAAAAGTACTTAGAGAATTGAAGAGTGTGTGACAAGTGTATGACAAGAGCCAGCATGGGTACACTTGTGCCCTAACACACACCTGTGGGGCACAGTCTCAGTAGATGTTGCTGGTGTTTTTGATACAAGTAGATGAATAAAACTCAATTATTTAAAATCTTCCTGTTTTTCATACTGGCTGAGTATACCTTTCTTAGGACCCTCGGAATTTTTCCACATTGACATAGTTAAATAGAGAATTAAGAAAACTGAAAAATATTGGGAAGATATGAAGATGGAGGATTTGTTTCAAGAGAATAAAAGCATTTATACTTTGAATTTTTAGCCTATTTACTCCTTTGGGTCCAGTTAACTGAACTCAAAAGCTAGTTGTGGCTCCGTGGTAGCTCTTGTTTCTAAATACACACTCGATACTGTAGGGAGACCCAAACTGTGGACATTATCCACCCAGAATTAGATGGTGTTTAGCCATGCATTTTACCAGTTGTGTTTTTGTTTCCCTTTGGAAAAACAGACCAGGTTGGGGCTCAGCTTAGCAGCCATCACTAAGAGCAGGAGTGATGCGGCCAAGGGTCAGAGGCAGTGAAACCTCAACTCTTCTAGATAGCTGTTATCTCAAATAGTGATTTATCCTCCACTGGCAGGACCGTTGCTGCCTTCTGTCACATGAAACCATGCCAAATCTCGCAGTGATCACAACCATTCTATAAGCAACAACATTCCTGTTGGCCTGAGCCATCCCCGTCTGAGCGCCTTCGCTGCAGGCCTCAGGGGCCTCTCTTGCTCCTCCACAGCCATTTCTGAGCCCTTTTTCTCCATCCCACTGTTACTGTATTTGACATCCCAGAGACATTTGACCTTGTGACCATACACAAATTTTGAAGCTTTGCTCTCTTTCTTTGACTTCTTTTGACTTGACAGTATTTTCTTCTGATTTTTCATCTCCTTGTTTATTAGCTTCTTTTCATCCTTAAATGTTCCAGCTTCCTGGGTTTCTATTTTTGGACATTTTCTGTTTTCTTTCCAAATGTAATTTCATCAGTGTCCAGCACTTTACAATTTACATGGCTTTTATATGGTTCTCCTAAAGCTCTGGATGCATCTAACTCCCTATTAGACATAAATTCTTGGGCTTTTGTTTGCAAACCTGTACAACTTCCTGTCATTCACACTATTTCAGTGTGTAAAGAACTCTCATAATAAATTATATTAACAAGAAAATGAAGGGCTGATTATGTGGCTCTGTGGGAGAGCTCTCGCCTAGCATAGGCAAGACCACGAGTTCCATCCCTAGCATGACAGCCTGAAAAGGAGAAGGGAGAGGGAGAAAAGGAAGGAGGAAGGGAGGGAGGGAGGGATGGATGGACAGAGAGAGAGAGAGAATAAATTTATTTAAAAATTCTTTCATATCACTTTGTATATCTTCTGTGTTGCTAATTCTTAATGTTGATCCTTTAGGAAATAGAAAATTTGTAACACATTTGAATGTTGAAAAACTGTTATGAAACAGTTAATTGTAGTGGAAAGGATTGCCATCATTGCAGCTAATAAAAAGGTTTTATCCAAACAGCATAACCAAGTATCTTCAGAAGAACTGATTGAAATTATAACATTGGTATGTGATGACTCATACATCGAGGTTATCTATGTAGGATTGACAGTATTCTGGAAAATAGCTAGAATCTGGAGAATTTATGGAAATAACATCATTTAGGTGGCAAACAGTGTACACATTACTTTCATCTACACTAGGTTATATAACCTTTGTAATAAACCCACAGGGTAATGTGTCAGTTATCCTGTATATTGAAAGAAAAATACAGGTAGAGGGGTTAAATCCCTTTTCCAAATTCATACAATGAGGGTGCCTCAAAACTACTTTGTTTGGTTACAATCCTGTTCCCATTTGTCCTAAAGCACATTTTTCTTGTACTAATAAAATAGCTGATTTTTGAGTGTGTGTATAATGATTATATAATTCAATTTCGTTTTTCATTAATTAGATTTATATTAATAGTGTAAACACTCAAAAAAGTATTAATTATGTAATGTGATTTTCGATACAAGTGTACATTATGCAGTGAGGTGAAACATAGCTGTCCTAATGCATTTATTGCTTCTTTCTAGCAAAAGCATTCAACAGGGCCCGGGAGATGGCTCAGTGGAATAAGCGCTTCCCTGGCAAGCGCAAGGGCCTGAGTTCAATCCCCGCTTCCACCAAACAAAATAATAATAATAATAGCATTCAACAGTTTTTCTCAAGCTTTCTGAGATATCCAGTACATAATTGCTCTCTATACTCACTTTACTGTACAGTAGCACATCAGAACTTCTTCCTTCCAACTGCGCCTTTATGCCCGATTAACCTGTCTCTGTTCTTCCTTTTCCTGTCCCTTCCCCAGATTTTACAGCCATCACTCTATCCTTAATGCCTCTGAGATCAGCTCCTCTATATTCCACATATGCATGAGATCCTGGAGCACTTGTTCTGTGCCTAGATTATTTTGCTTAACATGATTTCTGGTTCTATCTGTGTTGTCACTAATGACAGGACTTCATTATTTAAGGTTCATTTAAAAAAGCTATTAGTATAAGAAAAATTGGCAACTGCGTCTATTCCCCAGCATTTTCAGTGATCGTCCGCTAATGGCGTGCAATTCTAGCAAGGGGCCAGGTGTGGAGACTGTGGGGTATATCACGCATTTTAGGACAGCTCTGGTTACCTTAAAGCTACCCAGTATGACCTGGCTCAGTTACTGTTATGCTACCACAGATCTGTCCTCTCAAGCAGCTAAGGGGCAGGATTTCACTTTTACCATTTTAGCTGGTAATAATTTAGAGGTTAACCTGAGAAATTTAAATCCACTTCTTTTTACTTGATCAGTAATTATTGTGTTTAATTTGTAACATCATTTTATGGAGGGCAACTCAATTTCTGCATAAATAAGCCACTTGGCATGAAACTTTATTTTAACTAGTTTTGAATACTTTAGTACAGAATCATGTAAGATGACCTTCCTTAGTTTAATTTTCACAGGGCCTTGTTAAGATGGAAGAAACATAGCTTTATCTATAAAATAATGATTGTGTTTATTTTTTAAGTATAATATATTCATGAGACATCTGAGAAATGTAAAGGACTACTTTGAGGAAGTTTAATTTGGAATGAAAATTAATTTCACTTTGATGTAATGTATGCCTATGTATTTAGTTCTCATAAATAGGTCTTAACCAACGGTTCCCAGGTTATGTGACTGACCAGCAGCTATCCAATAAAACACAAAGGGGCATATAGAGGATGCACGCCACCTTTTAAATCCCTACGTAGTTTAAACTTTGAAATCAAATAATGAAGGATTCTGAAACAATTACTTTTCCTTGAACACATTGGTATGTCACATCTCCATTCTGTAATTGTTAGTTGGTTCTCATCATTTTAATATGTCGTAGAACTAGTGATGTGTGATAATTAGATGATTACTTTGATAAGAGATACTGTGTAGGAGCAGTTTTTACTTTGTAATCACACAAAAAAGTAGTCTCCTGAATATGTTATGCAGCGCTGCCTAATCTTAAAGAGCTAATCTCACTCTTTTTTGGACTCCAACGTTTACCATAGAAGTGCTTTATAGCATCTATATAATTTTTTTCTTTTTTTTGTCCCTTCTTTGTAGTTGTTTGAAATTACAGTGCCTCTCTCTCAAGGCCCCAAACCAGTAACTATCAGTTTTGCCAATCACACTTCCTGCCGATGCATGTCTAAACTGGATGTTTACAGACAAGCCCACTCAATTATTAGACGCTCCCTGCCATCAGCATTACCACAGTGAGTATGAATTAAACCTACTTTTTCTGAATCCTCTGTTAATATAAATTATTTTCTAGTATACATAAGTTTATTAAAGGAAGTTTTATGAAATTTGCTATGCTTTGCATCAAATAACAAGAAAAAATTTATAGTATCTTATGAAAATAAAATTAAACCAGAACAGGGAAGCCCATTTGGTAGGAGTGTAACTCAGTATGAAGAATCTAATTCTATGAAATAACACATCCCACGCTGTTAGAAAGATACCCCCTTTGATTTAACATGAAAGTGGGTGTGCTACGACATAAATGATGTTAATGTTTAAACATTTAAGGCTTGGTAAGATTTAATTCAAAAACAAAAAACATAAATGCAATTGTATCTTTTAGCATTCAGTTGCCTTTCTTATAATTTCATGTCATTTCTTTCATACAATTTCTTATGTATAGTTCCATCAGAATAGAATTGAAATTAGATAGATAGATAAATAGATGATAGATGTAAACATGTTTATTTCGCAAAGATTGGCTTTTTGAATAGCATTTAATTACTTGAAAGAATTTTTCTGATCATATTACTTCAACTTAACACTCAAACTATCATTTGTTATTCAAGTTGCCTTCCCATCCTTTATTTATTTATTTATTTATTTATTTATTTATTTATTTTCTTTTTTGCGGACCCAGGTGTCGAACTCAGGCCCTTGTGCTTGCCAAGGAAGCACTTATTCTACTGAGCTGTCTCCCTGGGTCCCCCATCCTTTTTTAAAATTTGGCTAATACCAGAAATTGATCACTGAGAAGGAAGTGAAGAGAGAATTTTATCCTCACCCTATGAAATGTTTATACCTAATCAATATGCAATGACCTTTGATCCTTAGGAAATTTCAACCCCAAATAGGGATGTTGCTGCTTGTCTTTAGGGTTTCCAGTGCATGTGCAGTGTACATTTACATAAAGCTCATATAACTCCAACATTTATTTTAAAAAATAAACAAATTGATGGACAAATTTAGGTATTATGAAAACTTAAGGAAGTCTTGTGTTTTGGACAAGTCAATAATGAAGACACTATGCCAACAGGGGTCTTCCCCACTGGATTTCTTCACACTGCTCTACTTACAGTGGCTGGCTAGAGGTCCTTATCTGGAGACCTTCTGAAGAAAACTTGAATCTAATGTAATTACCAGAAATTTGTCCTAATCCTTAAGAATAAATTCCCCAACATACTGAATAAAACTGTGCTGACATAGAATGGCCAGCATCCACCTGAACTAAGGATTCTGTCTGAGGCACTTTCATTATTGCTGGCCTAAGAGCTCCATTTCCTTTCTCAGCTGTTTCTCATAGCAACTCATCTATTCTGAGAACTTTAGCCTTGGTGTCTGTGTTTATGATTTCCAAAATTGTATTTGAAGTTATGGCCACAGTCTTCTACTACCCATATTTGATCTAAATTATCTTACATTGCTATGTAGTTATACTAAATCTAAGTGCAAAAGCAATCATCAAATCCCATTTTATTTTTCCACTGTTCACAGCACTACTGTCTCGTAATCCTTGAGGTCTTCAAATCACACAGTTGCCATCCATTGCTGTTTCTTTATTCCATCCAAACATGACTGGTTATTTTGGGCAAGGGAGAGATGTCTGTTCCTCCCTGGATCTTCAGCTTATCTTCGGTGCTTCCATCCTCTGTGCACGTTATTCTGTGTGTGTTTGAATTAATCTAGTGGGGTCAGTGCCAATTTTCTAGTATCAAATCTTTCCCTCACTCCTATATAGTATCATAAGTAAAATGTGCAAGTATCATTCCATCCTACAGACTAGAAACAACTGTGAACTGAGCAAAGAATTGAGCTCAAATCTCTTACCATTGTGCTCTACTAATGGCTTTTTTCCTTGTTTTGTCTTTTATGAGTCAACAAGACTTTGTTTCACAAACTGTGATTCCCTGAACACAAGACTCCTGTCCTGCTTTCTATATTGTTTATGTTCTGTCCTGGCTTGAAATAAGTTCATTATTTTTCTCTGCCTTTCTAAAAACCTAGACATTTGTTGGAGTTTAGGTGAAGATCTTTCTCTTCGTCTAGTCAAAATATCACAGTGACCTTTGCTTCTTGAGTACCTAGAGCAATTACAGGATGTGCAGTTTGCCTTGCATTGCTTCATCAGCGGCTCTAAATGCTGCCTGTGAAACTGGATTGGGAGAGAGGTAGTTTAATATCCTCCTTGATATCTAATGAAAAACTCTCAAATATAATCCATCCATTGTACTGTTCTTGGTCCTTCTCTTGCACTGTCTCGTGGTCTTCATAAAAAAAATCTTCTATGGGGTCAGTACTATCTCTTATCTTGCTAATGAAGCAAGTGATACACTCAGAGATTTGGAGAGGACTGAATGAAACACTGAACCTTTTATGCAGTCCTTAGCATAGTATCTGGCATTCAAAAGGCAGGCAGTAAGCAACAGGCATCCTATCATTAATGTCCAAATCTGATTTATATCTTCCACTTTCATCTTTTCTTTACCACTAAATACAATAAGAAATATATGTCATATTCTAACCAATATGTGTGCAATATATCAGCAGATATATGAACATGTAATATATGCTATATAACATATATGCTTTTAAAATGACAGTTTAGATTATAACTATATGTAGTCATAGATGAGTATAAAAATAAAGGAGGATCATCTTAAAAGTTTCCCTTATTTTATTGCTCTTCAATCTTTTTCATTATTTTCTCCCAAGAATGCATTCATAAATGCTTCTCCTCCTCCCACCATGAAACTTTAATGCCACAGATGGTAACATGTCTCTTTATGGACTACTTGTATATTTGAACTTTGTAAATCAGATTGAAATACAAAATTTACTTTTGTATTCAATATAGGGTTAAAATGACAAGCTAAACACATCAGTTAAAAGTGAAATCAAAAACTTCAAATCAAAGATGGGTTAATGAACCCCTCTATTCTCAGTACACTGAGAGGCTAATCCATACAGATCACAAGTTGAAGTCTGGCCCAGTGAGAGACAGATGCAGCAAACTCCGACTCAAAATAGGAAGTAAGAAATGGGCTGGAGATGTAACAGTACAAAGACATTGAGTTCATTTCTCAGCACTTCCAGAAAATAGGTCTATTAACAATTGACAGGAAGGTATTTATGTTTACAGAGGAACTAATATTAAGGTAATACACTTATGTAAATGATAATATGTCAAATTGCATGGACAAACTAGCAAATGATATGAACATACAGCATTGCAAATATAAAAAGTTGTACAAGGGCTGGCCAAATAGCTCAGCAGATTAAAGAGCCTGCAAGCAGATGCAGGGGCTAGGGTTTGGTCCCCGGGCCTACCGAGCTGGCCCCGCCCCCCAGGGCATGCTGAGACAGCAATTGAGACTGGCTGTGGTGAGGCACACCTGTAATCTCAGCTCTTGGGAGGCTGTAAACAGGTGTATCACTCCAAGTTCAGTATATCAGTGAGACCCTGAACACCCTGTAGACCCTTCCCTAAAATACAAAAAAAAAGTTGTATGCACCTTAAATCACTATTTTTCCATGAAAAGTAAAATGATTTTTTTAAATAATTACTTTAAAAGCATGTCATTGGTACATTTTACATATACACAGTCATAACAATCATCATAGGGAATTTGTACTTGTACAACATAAAACTTGATTCTTCTTTTCTTCTCCAGTTCCCTTAAACTCCTCTTGATTTTTAAAATAATTATTTAAAAAATTTAGAGAATTTAACTTGTTACTTTGCTGGATATGAGAGAATAACTACTATTAACTTTAGTTGATTGATATTAATTCATATATTGTGAACTTTGATTCTGTCCACATTTGATATAAGGAGTGCATGAAAAATTTTACAGGGTTAGTAATAAAATATAGGGGCTGGGGAGATGGCTCAGTAGAATAAGTGCTTCCCTGGCAAGTTCAAGGGTCTGAGTTCAATCCCTGGTTCCACCAAAAAAAAAAAAAAAACCTTCCAAAAAAGTAATAAAATATAACCAACTTTCATTTTAATTATTTACATTTCTATGTTCAACTCACATTTACAAATCAAAGACTCAGCATACATGCATACATATATGCATGCATGCACACAAACATACATGCACACACATACATGCATGCACATATACATGCATACATACATACACACATACATACATGCAGCAGGGGCACAGATAGCGCCCTCCAACCGGACGATTTTGACATTGCACAGCCAACAGACGTCCTCCCACCACCCCCATCTCTTCATCTTAATTTTGGAGCTTTTCTTTTTCATAACTGCTGGGGATCTCCTGGTGCCAGTGCATTTATGTAAAAGCTAATAAAACCCGATGAAAGTTAAATAGTGAGGAATATGATTTCTTAGGTTTGCAAGGCCAAACTCCACAGTAATATCAAGATTTCTATCTCCCTGCACCCCACTTTTACCTGAAAGATTATAGCACTTCCATTGTGTATGATCTATTATATGTTACTCACTAATATATATATATATATATATTATTGAAATATTTATATTATATATTTTGAAATATATATTATGTATTTTGAAATATATATTGGTACTGGGAATCGAACTCAGGACCTTGTACTTGCCAGGCAGCCACAGTACCATTGAGCTATTTCCCTACACTGACTCCCTGAAATAGTTTTTATTTTAAATCTTATTAATTTCTTCCTTCCTTCCTTCTTCCTTCCTCCCTTCCTTCCTTCCTTCTTTTCTTCCTTCCTTCTTTTCTTTTTGAACTGTTTTGGTCTTCAACCAGTTGCAAATTAAGCCTACAAACTAAGAAAAAGAGCTACTGTAATGATAATGTATACATGATTGATGAATAGCTGTGTTATGAAATTCTGAACTTGCTTAGGAGTTATGAAAAACACCACAATTGCTAAAATTGGAAAGACTAACAATAGCGTTAGACAGGATGTGGCACAGCTAAAACTCACTAGGAGTAGAGCATGGTTCAACCATTCT